AGAGAAAGAGAAATTGCAACAGAGACTGTGTGGCTCACAAAGCCTAAAATATTTACTCTGGTTCTTTATAGAAAAAGTTTGCTAACACCTGATGTAAACTATATAATTCAGGGCCTGCTTGTGGCAGGTGCTGAATGAACACAGTTGCTGTCATCATGATCATGATCATGATCATCATCATTTGTTCGTATTATTCATGCAGCAATCAGGTACCCCATGTTCTGTAAAGGGGATGAGGAGGAGGCCCCAAGAGGAGCAGGGCTGAGCCGGCACATCCTGCACACCCAGCATAGGGCCACACACGGGGTAGGGCTTTGGAGTTGGGTAATCTCTGTCCAAAAGACCCTTGGTCTGGTGGACTTTCTAATACACCCGCAATATTCTTATTATTTATTAAGTTGACAAATAAAAATTGCATATAGAGTCTGGGCATGGTGACTCACGCCTGTAATCCCAGCTCTTAGGGAGGCCAAGGTGGGGGATTACCTGAGGTCAGGAGTTCGAGACCAGCCTCGCCAATGTGGTGAAACCCCATCTCTACTAAAAATGCAAAAATTAGCTGGGCATGGTGGCAGGTACCTGTAATTCCAGCTACTTGGGAGGCTGAGGTAGGAGAATTGCTTGAACCCAGGAGACAGAGGTTACATTGAGCCAAGATCATGCCACAACACTCCAGCCTGGGTGACAGAGCAAGACTCTGTCTCAAAAAAAAAAAGTTGTATATATTTATGGCATACAACATGATGTTTTGATATATGTATATGTTGTGGAATGGTTAACAAGCTAATTAGGCATTAACTCACATACTTACCTTTTTTTTGTGGTGAGAACACCTAAGGTCTATTCTCTTAGAAATTTCCGAATATACCATATATTGTTATTAACTATAGTTATTGTGATGTACATTAGATTTCTTGAACTTAATTCTCCTGACTAAAACTTTCTATCCTTTGACCAACTTCTTCCCACTGCCCCCTCACCACCAACCCCAGTCCTTGACAACCACCATTCTATGCTGCTTCTCTGAGTTTGACTTTCTTTTTTTGTTTTTGAGACAGAGTCTTGCTCTGTCACCAGGCTGGCATGCAGTGGCGTGATCTTGGCTCACTGCAACCTCTGCCTCCCGGGTTCAAGTGATTCTCCTGCCTCAGCCTGCTGAGTAGCTGGGACTACAGGCACGCGCCACCACACCCAGCTAATTTTTGTAGTTTTAGTAGAGGTGGGGTTTCACCATGTTGGCCAGGATGGTCTCAATCTTATGACCTCGTAATCCACCCACCTTGGCCCCCCAAAGTGCTGGGATTACAGGTGTGAGCCACCACATCTGGCCCTGAGTTTGACCTTCTTAGATTCCACATTTGCTAAGTGAGACCACGCATGTTTGTCTTTTTGTGCCTGGCTTATTTCATTTAACATGATGTCCTTCAGGTTCATCCCTGTTGTTGCGAATGACAGGATTTCCTGCTTTTTTGAGGCCAAGTAATATTCCGCGGTGTATGTGGCTCACACAGTATTCCATTGTGTATGTGGCCCACATTATCTTTATCTGTTCATCTGCTGATGGACACTTAGGTTGCTTGCATACCTTGGCGATTGTGGATAATGCTGCAGTGAACATGTGAGTGCAGCTGTCTCCTCTACACATTGATTTCTTTTCTTTTGGATGTATACCCAGTATTGGGTTGCTGGATCATGTGATAGTCGGTAGTTCTATTTTTTGAGATGGTGTCTGGCTCTGTCGCCCAGGCTGGAGTGCAGTGGCATGATATTGGCTCACTCCATCCTCCGCCTCCTGGGTTCAAGCAATTCTCCTGCCTCAGCCTCCTGAGTAGCTGGAACTACAAGTGCACAACACCGTGCCTGGCTAATTTTTGTATTTTTAGTAGAGACAGGGTTTTGCCATGTTGCCCTGGCTGGTCTCAAACTCCTGTTCTCAAGTGACCTGTCTGCCCTGGCCTCCCAAAGTGTTGGGATTACAGGCATGAGCCACTGCGCCCTGTCCTATTTTTAGTTTTTTGAGGAACCTTCATACTGTTTTCCAAGTAATATTTAAACATTTAAATTTGCCAGGAAAATGTGTCAGAAGCCAGTTGTCAGGGGTACCATGATTCCATATAATGCCTTTATGTAAATTAGAAAAATGTACCCCTTCCTTAAGACACTTAATTGTTATTATAAATATACTGATTTTCTTAGAATGAGGTGCCTTACTGCCAGGAAGTTGTAATAAATATACAAATCTACTCTCTATTCATTCTGAATGGGAACCCCCCACCTCCCAGGATTGTGCAGTATACCACCTGCATGGCTGTACATGGCAGCCTTGTTTATCAAAGAATGGTGAAACCATGTAAGTCCTGATTTCTATGTATCTGTTGTGTTAGAGCAAGGCCCACCTGTTAGGGGCCTCCTTATGCATACCCATGACTTTGCCCTCATCTGTGCTTTCTTGGGCTCTGTGGGCCAGCAGGCCCTTGGGCCTCCTTACCACCACCTTTGGGTCCCCATAGGCAGAGATGGAGTTGGCCCAGCATATTGGAATCCCTGCCAGTAAGATCGTCTACACCAACCCCTGTAAGCAAATTGCACAGATCAAGTATGCTGCCAAGCATGGGATCCAGCTGCTGAGCTTTGACAATGAGATGGAGCTGGCAAAGGTGGTAAAGAGTCACCCCAGTGCCAAGTAAGCTGAGAGCCACTCATGGGGAGGCTGAGCTGTGGAGTGAGGGCCAGGGTGGGGTGAGGGAGTGGAGCTGGGGCAGGTCATCTTGTCCTGGACCCAGCCACAGTCACCCAGGAGGTTGGGCCAGGTACTCCTGGACTGGACCCAGGATGCTAGGATCTAGCTAGAACGAAAGCAGAAATAACTGGTTAAAGCCCCAGGCAGAGTGAGACCCATGGTATTATGGAGGCCAAAGTCACAGTCTTGAGAGAGCTGAGGGGTAGTCAGGAAAGCTTCATGAAGGAAGTGCCATTTGAAGTGGGCCTTGAGGAATGAAAAGGATTTGGAGAGGGCATAAAGAGTGAACCTCATAAGGAAATGTATTGAGATTGCAAACAGCATGGGGTGTTCAAGGGTAAGCAGAAACTTGGTGTGAATGCAGTGTGCTCTGTGTGGAGGGTGAAGGAGATACTGGTTGGGGGCAGGGACCCGATGCAAATGGACTTTGGAAGGGGTCAGGGTGGATGCTTTGCTCTGGCTGTGCCTTTTACATGATTACTGGACAGCCTTGGACTTCTCAGGAGGAACCTTGGGCCGAGGGGCGGGGCCAGGTGATGGGCCACTCTAGTCCATCCAAAGCAGCTTCCATCATATTAATGAGTTCTCCTTAAGGCTTTGTTTAAAAATGATTCCTCTCATACATAACAAATTTGAAAGCTCTGACTGATGTGGAGACTGATTTGGAGGAACTGGAGCTGCCCCAGGAAAGGTTGGTGAGGTCTGGACCAGGGCAGGGGCTGCAGGGATGAGTCCTGGGACATTTAGGGAATGGAATAGACAGGACTTGCAGGTTGATTGGCTGTGTAGGGAGAGGGAGGGGTCAGGGGGCCTGTGGGGGTGGGTGGCTCTGAGCCATGTAGTTCACAGCCCTTGATTGAGAGACGTGGCTGGGGTGGGGTGACAGGGTTTGTCCAGCAGAGGGGCACTGCGTGTCTCATCAGGATGGTTCTGTGCATTGCTAACGATGACTCCCACTCCCTGAGCCGCCTGAGCCTGAAGTTTGGAGTGCCACTGAAATCCTGCAGACACCTGCTTGAAAGTGCCAAGAAGAGCCATGTGGAGGTGGTGGGTGTGAGGTGAGCACTGGGAAAACCCCTACTGTCCCCACCCATGCCAGGCTCCTGGCTCTTTCCCAGGAATTTAATTTTATATGAGACCTTCCCCAGGGCCTCCCAGCAGGGCCTGTCCCTGGGCCTGGAATTCTGCCATTTGAGAATTTCCTCTGTTTAAAAAGGAAGTTTGGAATGGACTCTTCCCCAACCCCAGGATCCCCAGAAGGTCTCGTCCCAGGAAGTTCCATCCAGGGACCTGGCTTTGAGGGTGTTTTACCAGCCTGTTGGACAAAGGTCATGCAGCTACACTCTTGAGAGGCCTCTTTTCTTTTCTTTTTGAGACAGGGTCTCAGGCCAGGCATGGTGGCTCATGCCTGTAATCCCAGCACTTTGGGAAGCTGAAGGAGGTGGATCACAAGGTCAGGAATTCAAGACCAGCCTGGCCAGCATGGTGAAACCCCATCTTTACTAAAAATACAAAAAAAAGTTAGCTGGGCATGGTGGCATGCCTGTAATCCCAGCTACTCAGGAGGCTGCAGCAGGAGAATTGCTTGAATAGGAACCTAGGAGGAGGAGATTGCATTGAGCCGAGATCATGCCACTGCACTCCAGCCTGGGCTACAGAGGAAGACTTTATCTCAAAAAAAAAAGAAATGAAAAAAAGAGAGATAGGGTCTTACTCTGTCACCTTGGCTGGAGTGCAGTGGCATGATCATGGTTTTCTGCAGCCTTGACCTCCCAGACTCAAGCAATTCTCTCTCCTGCCTCGGCCTCCCAAAGTATCTGTGTCCACAGTGTGTGTCACCACATCTGATTAATTTTTATTTATTGTAGAGATAGGGTCATGGCCGGGTGTGGTGGCTCACGCCTGTAATTCCAGCACTTTGTGAGGCCAAGGCAGGCGGATCACCTGAGGTCAGGAGTTCGAGACCAGCCGGGTCAACATGATGAAACCCCATCTCTACAAAAATACAAAAAAAAAAAAAAATTAGCTGGGCATGATGGTGGGTGCCTGTAATCCCAGCTACTCGGGAGGCTGAGGTGAGAGAATTGCTCGAATCTGGGAGGCAAAGGTTGCAGTGAGCTGAGATCCATTGCACTCCAGCCTGGGTAACAGAGTGAGACTCCATCTTAAAAAAAAAAAAAAGAGAGAGATGGGATCTCACTCTGTTGCCCAGGCTGGTCTCAAACTCCTGGGCTCAAGCAATCCTCTTGCCTTAGCCTCCCAAAATGCTGGGATTACATGTATGAGCCACTGCACCCAGCTGTGTGCCTCTTTTCTTACAGGGATTTGGAAGGAGAAATAATGATCCACCGAAGGAACAATGAACTACCTAATATAGGGCTTCGTTTATTCTGTACTTAGGATGTGCCAGGTGCTGTGCTAAGTGCCTCACGAGCATTATCTCACAGCCTTGTGTGGTGTGGGTCTTGTGTCCATATTATAGGTGGGGAAACTAAAACCAAGCTGAGTAAGCTGCCAAGGCCACCCTGCTGACTGGGAGCACAGCCAGATCTGGTTGACCTAGGGGCCCTGGCTCTCATCCCCGAAGGAGGGAAGGGAGGAGCACCAAGTTCCAGGAGACCTTGGATCGAGCCTTCTGTTCAGTCCTCCCTTGCCATATGCCCTTGGCAACCCATTTAACATTTCAGGCCCTCAGTCACCACATCTGCAAAATGGGCACAGTGTCTCATGTGCCTGCCCAACGTCAGTCTTGGCTGGGGCTCAGGTGGTGGCACTCGGAGCCCTGCAGGTCAGCTGAGGCTTTTCCTCCCTTCCCAGTTTTCATGTTGGCAGTGGCTGTCCTGATCCTCAGGCCTACGCTCAGTCCATCGCAGATGCCCGGCTCGTGTTTGAAATGGGCACCGAGCTGGGTCACAGGATGCACGTCCTGGACCTTGGTGGCGGCTTCCCTGGCACAGAAGGGGCCAAAGTGAGATTTGAAGAGGTAACCCTGGAGCTGGTAGTGTCGTGCTGGGTTCTATTTGGGGGGGATAGGGAGGGGTGAGATGATCAGAGGAAGACCACTGTGCGTGGGTCCTATGCACCACAGGCAATGCTTGGTGCTTACCTAGGCGATCTCACTGCTTATTAACCCTGTGCTACAGCTGAGCAAGCCGAGGCTCATGGAGGTTATGTCACTTTCTGAGCCCAAAGCAAAAACCCAGCTCTGCCTGCCATGCACTTCCCCAGCCAGTTTGAGGCATAACCAGGACACATTTACATAAGTCATAAGGCTCTTTAAGGGGCTGGATAGGCCTATTCACACTCAGATGGGCTGATGAGAAATCGGGTGAGAGGCAGGGAAAGGAAAACCAACATTTTGTCCACTCCCTGGCTCTTCTCCATTCCCTTTCACTGTGAAGTGAAGTGAAGAAAAATGTGTCCTAGCAGTTCCCACTCCAACCACTAGAGGGCGCCTCTTCCTGGAAGGCACCTCCTTTGGGAAGACCGATATCTAGGCATTGACCCCACAGAAATAATTTGCCTCAAAGATGGCTGTTTTAGCTTTGTTCATAACAGAAGTCCAGTGGACTTCCCTGGTCCATCTTAATACTCAGGAGTGTTTAAATTATGGTACATTCTTTTAATGAAAACATTTACTCAATGTGTGGAGGTCATTCACAGTCTATTAAGTAAAACAGGTTATAAAAGCATACAGAGACCTATCATGCTTATAATAAAAAATAGCATTTGTATAAAAAGTAGTTAAAGACACTACTGCAAAAAGTTAACAGAAATTAGATTCATCTAGGTGATATAATTAGAAGTGACTTTTATCTTCTTTTTCCTTTTCTGTATTTTCTCAATTTTCTGTAATCAAGAGTATAACAAATTGACCCTTGAACAACTCAGGGCTTAGGGGCACCGACACCCTACACATTTAAAAATCTGCATGTAACTTTTGATTCCCCCAAAGCTTAGCTACTAATAGCCTACTGTCGACAGGAAGCCTTATTAATAACCAAGAGTTGATTAACAGATATTTTGTGTGTGACATTTTTATATACTGTATTCTTTTCTTTCTTTTTCTGTCTTTTTTTTTTTTTTT